TTACTTTATTGTATTTAAATCTTCATTTAGTCTGCTTTTTTTGTTGTACTTGTTTTGTCTCCAACCCAAATGTGTTAAAAAATTTAACACATTTCAGATTTTTATTTGCTGCTGGTGTAAGTTGATTGAACTTTATTGCCGTTTTTTTATATTTTTTTCTCTGTCAAATACTTTGAAAATATTGCATTTACAAAGAAATGTATGCTTTGTACATGCATACATTTCTTTTTTGCATTCTCATTCTGTCTTCTTTGCTTTTGTCTGTTTTCCTCCTTTTTTTGTTGAGCTTTTTTTTCTGACTATTTGCTCTCCTATTCTTCTTTTTAATTTGTTCTTCTCCCTTCCTTCTCTCTTCTTGCTATTTCTCCTTCCCTCTTCTCTATTGCTCTCTTTCTTGCCCTGCCTCTGTTTGAATGGTGTTGCCTGTCTGAGTGCTGCATTTATTTCAAGGACATGTTGCTGCAGACCTCTTATCTTTTATGTGTACCTCCTCGACTGCAGCATGTCACATCCTGGAGTGCTCCGAGGGCTTAGCACAGGAAGTCATCAGCACCATCGGCCAGGCCTTTGAGCTGCGTTTCAAACAGTACCTGAAGAACCCCCCCAAACTGGTCACACCTCATGACAGGTACAGCTCACAAATAAGCTGCAGCTCTTTTTTGGTAATTTCTCAGCCAGTGCTTTTTTTTTTCTTTCACTTTTTTCTGTTTTTCGTATTCTAAACATTTTGTCTTTGTCAGAATGGCTCCGTTTGATGGCTCTGCATGGGAGGAAGAAGATGACGAGGCTGTCCCTCCTCCTCCTCCTTCCACTGAGGTTCCTTACTATAATAATTTTCCTGATAAGCAGCCTCCCCCTGGTGGGCTGATTGACATGAGGACTCGTCCAGGAGCAACTCTGGTGAGAATGAATGGATTAGAAAGGGAATAAGATCTGCTTATGCCTAAATTCACCACTGGCCTAGTTACAATGTGCTGGTTATTAACTAGTATTTTAGTGCATTTTCAAGTTGTAGTTTTGGAAGCTGTGGCAAATATTACTATAACCCATAAGGAATACATCTGCTTCATATAATTCTTGACCTTTGTAATCCTTTTAGAAATCCTGGAATAGCTACATTATTTTGGTCTTCTGATTGTTTTTTGTTTGCAGCCCTACGGGCAGCCAGGTCAGAGCGACATTCACAAACAGCCTGTGCCTCCTCTACCAGGTGAGCTCCGTCTTTGCCTCTCTGTGCCTATCATTTTTTGGAAATTCAGAAAGGAAAAAATGTCTAGTTTTTTTTTAACTGTGTTTAAATTGAAGACGTGTATTTTAACCCTGATAATAGGAAAATGTTTTCTCCATGTTCTTTAACTTGAAAGCAGAAAATGTCTTTGTACACCTTTTTATAATTTTTTTTGTTTTTTAGTGGGTGCCAAAGAAGGAGGCCGGGAGCTGTTTGACGACCCGTCATACGTGAATGTGGAAAAACCCAGACCTTCTGTAGCAGCTAATGGAAATGCTCACAGAGACGTATTTGACATGAGTGAGTGTTTCTCCATAGCTTAGCTTAGTTTAAAATGTAATTTCTTAACTTTCTGAGCTCAACTGCACGGTTGTGTGAAATACAGAGGTGCCACAATAAAGCAATTTGCTGTGAATAAGGAAACACTGATATGAATTGTTGTAAATGGGATGTGTGGGTTGTAATCAAAACAGAAAAATAACTGGTAATTACTGTGTGCAGAAACATAAAGGTTGTACATTCACAGTGGAAAAAGCTGTCATTCCAGCAGATTCAAACTAAAAACAGAAGCTTCTGCAAGGAAGCCATATGGGACAGATAGGAAAGATATGGACTAAATTTGCATTTTATAAAACATTGACAAGCCTCTTGGAGTTTTCCACATTAAATTTGCATTGCCTGCAGAATTATGATGCAGTTTGAAAGATATATAAATGTATATTTTTAATGATTTGCCTGTGTTTGAGTATTTTTCTGTTAAAAATATGAGTATGAAAGATAATTTTATTTCCAAAAATTATTTCTGCAGCTGAAGATTGTACTCGTCGATCCTTCAATCCACCAAACAGTATTCAAACTTGATCATTTGTCAGGCTGTCTGATCACTGACATGGTACTCTTAATTCCATTGTCCAGTGTGCCAGCATGTTCAAGATGGAATACCATGTTGTGTTAATCTATTTATAGTTTAACTAGAAGAGGAATCAGTTTACCTTGTTGAGGAAAGAAGTTAAAGTGCAGAAGTTAGACTGTAACAGTCACAGCACACTGTACAGCTAAATGCGTCACGCAGCTCTGCCCTGCTCTGCTCCTATCAATACATCCCGGAAGATTTGCATTTGATTCAACAGGTGACAAAATGGAGCTTGAAGATGTTAAAGACTAAAATGGGAGAAGTAACAAAGCACCAAATGGTGCATTAAAACAAAAGCTTACTTACAATATGTTGGGTTTAATTCAGCCTCAGGCCTCTCATTAAAGTTAGTAATAGTTGGATCTGGCTTGGGCACATTGCCTATGAGATTGACCCAGGTCAACTATGATACTTCTAGTGCAGATTTCTCCTCCAGATGCAAACCTGTAGGAAGTTATTAGGTTGTGAATTCAGACCACAGCAGGTGAATCTTTCAAAACTTAAGTGGAGTCATTTCATGTCAATATTGTTCATAGTTGCATATTGGTCTGCCTGTCCAATCATTAATTAATCAGTTTTTTTTGATCATTCTCCTGTTTTATCCATCAGGTTGATACTCCATCCAGTTATACATTCAATTTATACATATTTAAACTTTTATCCATTTGTTTTCATCCAAATTTTCATTCTCAGTTCATCCATTCTTTTGTTGTTCAACTATCCTTCAAGATGTCTATCAGTTTGTCTGTCTAACAAACCCTCAATCTGTTTATTCTATCTACCCATTTGTCTTTATTACAATGTGTTTATAGCTTGGATCATGTCCTCTAAACCACGCTATAATGTTACAATGTGTTTTCATTTGTTATTTTCAAGAACCGCTCGATGATGCCTTGGGAGTGTCTGGACACGCTGGCCCAACATCAGTGGTGGTACCGCTGTCGCTGGTGCAAGAGTTGCAGAGCGAAATCTGGTTCCACGGTAGCTTGAGTCGAAAAGAGGCGGAGAGACTGTTGACCCGAGACGGAGACTTCCTTGTCCGGGAATCTGGGACCACTCCTGGGCAGTACGTCCTTACCGGACAGCAGGGGGGTCAGCCCAAACACCTGCTTCTTGTTGACCCAGAGGGAGTGGTACGTCGGGGGTTGAAGAAGCATTACATTTTTATTGGACATAGTGGTGTTGATGGTAACGCATGATATTTTTCACCCATTAGGTGCGCACAAAAGACCACCGGTTCGGAAGCGTCAGCCACCTAATCAGTTACCACACGGACAACAAACTGCCCATTGTGTCAGCCGGGAGCGAAGTGTTCCTGCAGCAGCCAGTGGCGCGCAGGGCCTGAAGCCACGCACGCCAATGAAATACTCCACCAAAAATAGACTCTCACTCCCTCTCCAAATCCACACAACACACTCCCAAAATCATACGCTTTAATACACACAACACTACACACAGCACTCCCATGAAACGACACATGACTACAAGCCAAAATAATTAAAATATATCACCTGTTTCTCAGCAAAAAAAAAACAAATCACTTTCTTATTTCTGTTGCCACATCTTCTGCCAATCTGTGACCAGCAGTCTCCTAGAAACCCATTGGATTCACCCACCTACCCACCCACCACAGAGAGGCACTGCTGCATTTTCTGAACCAACTGTGAAGCAGGGAGGAGCCCTTCAGCAACATCACAACAGGGCTGAAAACATGCAATTATTTTTCTTTATTTTATTTGTTTGAGGAGAAAAACAGAACTGCTATAATACAAGGAATTGTTTTCTAAAATGGTTGAACTGTGGAGGAAAGCGAACAGACTTGGATTGAGATGCTCGGTGTCTTATTTAGGAGGGGAAATATTTCGTCCTCGGAGCATCGCTGGAGCATTTATGCAAAAAGAAGCCAGGCGGTTTCAGGGACTTGACTGAGTTCAGTTCACCCTTCAAGTCTCACCGGAGATGTAAACGTGACAAGACAGGCAAATATGCATAAACGAGTGCACCGCCCATCTTATGAGGAGCACTGACCCACCACCGGTCACTCCAGCCTGAGTACCTTGGACCTTGTAGGAAAGCCTGTATGCAAAAGCTATGCTAAACACCACCACCTTCATTGTGTTTTGTATATTCTGTTATCATGAGTCAAATAACTTACTGGACATGTGGAGTACAGGAAGATCAAAACAGCTGTATCTCCCCAAACCTTTTAAACACACATGCAAATGTATATATTCACCTTTACACGCCATAAACACTTCATGTCATGCCAAAGATCATAAACTTGGTTGCTATTTACGAAAAGGAAAAAAAAAGAGAAGCCATGACTCTAGCAGTTGTCTCTAGGCATGGGCCGGTATTATATTCTCATGATGTAAAAATCTACAATGGAATCAAACAATGTAAAAATCTACTAAACAAATTAGTGATGTAATTCCCTTTATTTGACACAGAACACCAACAGTTATTGCTGCTGCTACAATTACACGATATTGATGTGAAAATATTTATTTTACTGCTAAACTGTGATATTTTAAGCTGAAGCTACATAATTAGTCAGGTCGATGGCACAGTCAGATACTTTCCAAACTTGCAACTGAATTTGTAAAGGGTTGCACCATTTTTTTTAGTCACCAGCTGACCTGTAATGGGCAGCAACAAGTAAACGGTTAGTGGCATTTTCTCTCACATCTCATGTGAAAACACTCTGTTCCACTCATGTTTAAAACCGTGGTACACATGAGTACTGGTAACTGGCCCATGCCTAGTTATGTTAAATTAATTTCTAAATGGCTTGTTTTTTTAGTGGAGAAATGATTTGAGGTGATTGTGCCTGAATCCTGCGTCAAAGAGGAGATTTTTAAAGTACACTGATGTCAGCCACAGAGGAAAAAAATGGTGCATTTTGAGAAGCATGAAGGTTGCTTTTCAATAGCTCTTTAGTGTGTGTTTGCATTGACAATCTATGAGTTATAGCTACAGAGAAAAAGCAAAGGTGAGAAATGCTCAGCAGTCTTTAAGTAAGAGCATTTTGCTTACAAAATTAATGCAGTGTATTCTGTCATTATGTTTAATAATATGAAATCATCTTTTTAAGAAAAAACAAAAACCTTTTATGAAACAAAGTGACTCTACATGACTATATATCATTTTTTGAAGCGGTTTCGATCTTCAGTGCTACTTTCAAACATACATGGATTAATAAAGGGGGGAAGTTAATGCTGTTTTCCTCTCCCCTCAGTTCATGATGCGTTTTATATCTTTTCAATTGTGCCTTGTTTCCTCAATGCAGTCATGTTTTTTTTTTAACGCAGTCACCTTATGTACTTTATTCAGATGTAGTCAACTACAGAAGAATCTCAGTTTAGCAAAAACTCTGCAAAATGAACACCCTGATGACGACAACATGTGGCTCCAGTGATGGCAATCTCCTCTGATGCACATTCCTGCATTCAGCTTCTAGTCACAGATACTTGATGTCACCATTGGGGAGGGGGTTGAGAGGGAGTATATATTTCTCGATCACCTGTAAATAACATTCATTTTAGAGTGATCGGCTTAAATATTGTTTCTGTTGTGTATTTAATGACTTATTCAACGAGGAACGCAGACTGTACAGCATTAAGGTTGTTCATATTAGAATGTAAGAGAGGTTGAAACCAAAAATGTTGAAATGTGAGAAGGGACCTTTCAGTCGCATGTGATCAAACGTGCGCACATACCAGAGTGGCAACTGTTCATGGGTCAGAAATAGGAAAACCAGAAAGGAGCGCCGTCGTTACTTGTGTGTGCATGTTGTGCTGGAATAGACTCAGCTGACCCTCTGTATCATTAGTGAACTGGTCCTGTGTTGTTGCTCATCACAGTTGCCTTTGTTGCATGAAAATATGTTTTAAAACGATGTTTTGTTGTTTGCAGTAGTAATAGTGTCGTTGATGCTGTTTATGATTTTAAGCCAAAGGTTCTATTTGAATTGTGTGCAAAGATATTGATTTGTACTTTATATTTTCTTTCCATTCTGTTTTCCTTTATAGGGAAACATGTCTGTTTACACCTGTAACTGAAAATATAGATTGCATATATAGATAAATATATATATAAATACATCACTCATCATTGTGGGTTTTAGTTGCATTTTAGCTCATTTTGGTAATTTACTGGACTAACTTGCATTTAACTGAAATCAGAAAAACAAAGTATCCTGTAGCGTAAGCTGTGTTTAACCAGTCCTACCTACCAAAGCCTTGTCTAACTCTTTGGTCTCGTCTTGGTAATCTGACAAATACAAAAGCTCAGAGATTTTTGTCTGTCAGAATCAATCGAGGGAGAATTATCGAGATTGTAATCAGTCCAATCAAAATGTTGTTTATTCCCTAGTTAATTATGCAAGCGAAATAATGAAGCAAAGATGCTACACTAATTCTACTCTCCTATTATTAAGAAAGTAAAGTGTTAGAATGAGGGGATTCACTAGTAAATTATTGATTGAGATTTGGTATCAAGTATGAACTTAATGTACCAGAACAACCACAAATTAAAAAGGAAAAAGTGCCTTACTTTAGTCATATGAGGCACTTGTGGAAATATCTTGCATTTCTGCTTAAGTGGTTTGGCCACTTTCATCTCTGCTGATGCTCTGGTTTGTTTTCCTGCTACAACGGCTCATTCTGAAAAGGTGGCCCTTTGGATATCCGGACTTTCTTACATCTGGATTACTTCTGGAACTGGGAATAAACCTCACAGACTGGAACGAGACAAAGTTCTTGATGGAGAACAAGGTTTGGTCAGTTTCCAAGCTCAGTTCTCAGTAACGTGCTCCTCGGAAAGGAGTCCTCACCAAGAGCTAATCACCCAATCAGAGATGGACTTGAAGTAAGGCAGCAATTTTCAATAAAAACTGATTTCATATTTCCTTTTACACACTTTTAGACTGAGACAGCAAATGTATTAAGATACTGTAGAGATACTGTCACAATTCGCATTCAAGGTTTAAATAAATCATTATTTGAAGCTACAACTATTAACAGATTGTTTCAAAGAAAACCTTTTGAGCACAAGGTTAAATGCATCTCTTATTTTGAAGATCACTTGAAGCCTTCTGCAGGAAATGAAGGATTATTTTGGGGACACCCGTGGTCCGGTAGGGACTCTTTGAAGAACCGAGAGAAAAGTTGTTCTTGTGGTTGAAGGGTCAAATCTGAGATGTTTATGCTCTACAATACACTGCTAGAAATGTGTGCAGCTCCAACATATACTGTCCTAAACAAAAGGTGCGATGTGGATGGGGACCCACTGGAACTCTCCCATTTGTTAACAGAAGCTGTGACAGTGGGGTCCTAAGCTGTTTTGGTGTGGGGATTGAACACAGACGAGTGTGATAAACAAAGCTTTTAAAAAAATCAGCAGATGATTGAAAGAAGAAGAGAAAATCCTGGATGTGAATGGAGGCAGCTGCAGTTTGGACAGTAGAGGCAACCTGGCCTGACCTGACAGGCATCCTTCTACATGCACTCTCACTGACGGCTCACCTTTGCCTCTGCATTGATTCTGCTGCCTGAACCATGCACCCCCAGCGTCCTCTTCCCCAAGCCATGCCTGCGCCCTCCTTAGGGCAGCACCTGCGGGACATGACCATGGGTCTCGGACGGGGCAAGAACTTCCTGGGAGGGAATTTTTCCTATGGTTTCATCCAGTCAGTTAAGGAGTGTCTTTATTTCCTCCTCTGCTGCTGGTGTATAAAGGAGATCCTTGACTGAAGGACCGAAAGAAAGTACAAGCTGTAAACTAAACATTTGACGTATTGAACATTTGCTCTGTAAAATGCAGTTTTAGTCTGCATTTCATTGGAGCGTATGAAGAAACGTTCTTGGAAGAGCTGTGGTGAGTGATCTGTTGTGCAATTTGTGCTCTTACCAAACTAAATAATATACTTTTTATATTTGGGTCACTAAGCAAACTTGGCAATATTTCAAATCCGTCCGTTTCTGTTTTAGTGTCCATAGTATGTCCATTTTGAGGTTGAGGAATCATTCTTCAATGCTGCTTGACTGGGGTCAACATTTTAAAGCATCACTCTGAAGATCTTGGATTTTTTTTTTTGGACTGGAAACCTGCTTTTCCTTGATGTGCCATTAAATAAATTAAATATTTCTACCTTATGTTGTTTCTTTCTTTTTATTTGTTCATGTGGTAGTTAGAAGAAGCTGGATGAATATCTGGCACTTTATGTGGAACAACTAAATCCAGGTTTATGTGTCAAAAACATTGTTATGGTGAGAAGTAAAAACAAAAAAACAAGTGTAACCCTCCCAGCAATCCTCAAGAGTTTTGCTACTCTGACCAGCTTCCCTGTCCCTGCTGAAGAAAAGGCCACCGCATGATTCTGCTGCCACCTTGTTTCAGTGTCAGGATGGCGTGTTCAAGTGGATGTAGCCTATTTGAATTTGATTTAAGATGACTGACGATCACAGCAAAGAAAAGCTTGCCTTCCTGAACAGACAAGACCAAGACTTTTTCCACATGTCTTGTGTCAACTGCAATCTGAAATTGTCATGGCTGTCTTCTGCCAATGGCTTTCTTCATATCAACAGATTGTCCCACCTTAGCTATGAATCTGTGCACCTCCTCCAGAGATACCAAGGGTTCTCTTTGCTGCTTTGTAAATTATTTCTGTTTTTGACAGGCCTGTGTATTCAGGTGAAAAGTCATGGCAGGTGTTGGATTGTGTCCTATATATGGATGATCAATAAATTGAACAGTGCTCCATATTATGTCCAAAGCTTAGGATATTGTTTTGTAACAGTTTTATCCCAGCTAAATGCTGGCACACAATAAGAAAATGTGTAATTTTCATTTCATTTCACAATTATGTGCTCGTTTTTCTTTGCACGCCAAAGAAATCAACTTAAAATGTGTGACAATTTAAAATAAGTTTCACAGCTTGTCAAACAACCTATGAGCGTGTTTGTCGAGGAAAACTTTCATTGGTTCAGTGGTACGGAAAAGAGGCGGGACTAGAACGACCTCAGAGTGCGATTGGTCAAGTGACGTAACTCTTGAGTTCAGACTTCACCTTCGAAGTTCCCAAGTTGGTTGGAAAGAGACGGGACAGCCTGCTGTATCTCTCACCTTCTCCGGGGTCTGGAGTAAAGTTCCCCAACACGGTAAGAACAACCCGAGTCTGAACATTCTGTTGTTTGTTTATTTTAACCTCTAACAGAGCAGTCGTACATTATTTCTCTTCACACGGCACCGCCTCCGTCGCTTCACGTTTTCCTGGTCGCTCGCTTCAAAAGGAAAACTTGTCTGTAATGTTTTGATGTCACAGCAACAATGTGCTTTCTTTTGATATCCATCCAGTATATTGAAGTTATACAAGTCTTTGTCACATTCCCAAAAATATCCTCGTTTTTTTTTTATTTTATTTTATTTTTTAGCTTTTATTCAACTTGAGCCATCCTCAGTTGACATTTCCTGTCTCATTCAGACTATTACATTTGCATATTATGAGTGCATATCGCGGGTGCTTTGCATGGGAGCCTGTGAGCACAAGTTTCCTTTTAGTTTTTGCTTCACTGATACCATTAAAGACACATCCTGTTGTGTCGCTTAATCTTGGCCTTTTTTGGTCATTTATTTTCCCAGGAGAGACCAGATAAGACCCAGTGTTGCGACAGTTGGCTTGTTTGTGTTTTATTCAAAGGGAAAAATAAGTATAGTCAGCTGTGCACGTTGCATATATAATACACGCAAGGGAAAACACTGAGTTATGTTTATTTGAAGAAGTAAAGGGACGTCAGACGGAGCTGGAAGTTTACTGAAAAGCAAAGGAAGGGTCCCTCTGTGCTTAGGGAATACATTTGAGTTTATCTCTTGAAACTCTGGAATAAAGATGCATTTTCTCTGAAAAGCATCAAGCTTTATGGCGCATGTAATCTTTTTAAAACTGTCCTTAGACTAGACCGCTGCCTCCCTTGCATTCCCTGTGGCAATCTTCTGCATGCTCCCCCTTCTTTTCTGTCTCTAGTCAATCTCATAGCAGCTAAATTTAGCTGCCATCTATTTAAGCCATTCCACTATATGCTCCACAATGCTCCTTGTGGGGCCCCAGGCTAGATCCGGCAGACTTCTCTCGGGAGGAACTGGATTAGGAGACCTAAATTGCGCTGGGAGAAAATTGAATTTGAGGAGTGAAGTGTGTCATTATCTTGCCATAAGTGAGGAGTCTCTGCGTTTGTAGATCACAGTCAGGTGACACGGGTTAAAGAAATGACTGTGTAAAATAATATTCTTTTAGAATGTAATCTGAGCGTTATCTGTTGAAATCCTATTCTCTGTGTTCTTAAAAATACAGTGTGCTGCTTGGAAGACGCCTATTGAACAAACCAATAACTGAAACGAAAGGCGTCTTTAGCCTCTATCTTCAGAACATTGCAGGCCTTAGTTACCCGTGTCTGTGCCAAAACATTTCTCTGCTAGTCAAAAGCCAGGGTGCCCACAAGGCCTCCTGTGCTCACAAACTACTAATGAAGAACTGAATTCTCCTAAAGCAATAAGACTTCCTGCACACACACAAACACACTCAGGCCCAGTTTCACTAAATGTTTGTAACACTTTACAGTAGGTTCTATGTTAGTAGAATGGGTGAGGCTGAATAGCAAAGGCTGGCATCCAAATCCTATGCTTGTGTAAACAAATGTAAATGTCTTAAAGCTGCAGGCCACACAGGGATTGTCCTACTTGTCTATTTTCATTCTGTAGCTCAGCAGTTTGTATATGAATAATAATACATAAAGACAGATCTCCTGCAGACTATGAGTAACAAACAAAAAATCTGAAGTGATGCTTCTTCAGACAGGCTTTCTGCCCTTTTGAGTTTAAAAAATAATAATTTAATTGGTTTGATGCAGCATGCCTCCATGCCATGCTGCATTAATGCAGCATGGCATGCTGAGGCGCTCAGGAAGTCCAGGTTGCTTTGATGCTTTGCTTCAGGTCATCTTCATTGTGGGTTCTTGTTTCTCTCAACTATCTCTTGATTCTCCCATCTATCTACAGCCAACTATGTTTCTTTTGCACCTTGTGCTTTCCTGCTTTTCTTTCCAATTAATTTTCCATTTTCTTCTACAGAAAAGGGTGTTTGAGTGTTTTAAGATGCTACATCAAAGTCGTTTGTTTCCCAAATGGATGGTAAACCGTGTTTGTTATGGAACAAGACATAATTTCTCATTTAATTTTCAGTAACTGGATAACTACCTTCTATGTTGGTTCCATTTTTATGCAGACCCCAAAGCAGACAGACATTAACACTGAAGTATTTATTCATTAATCACATTCATTGCGACATTCACATATATTATTGTATGTTATTTGTTTTCTTGGTATTATGCAGCCATACTTGCTTTAGGATGACAGGTCAGCAGTTTTCCCAATAAAACGGTGGGCCGGTAGAACCATTAATGTTTTAGCCTTTAGAAAAAAAAGATCTAATGTTCTACTTTTTGACAATGCATGGAAATATGACTTATTTTCTTCATTAAATTTACTATATAAAAGCTGAAAGATATATTGAACTATGTGTAATGTGTATATGTACACTTTTTCAGTTCAATTCGTAATTTGGTAATTTTTGACATTAACATGTTTATGAATATTGTATCTAAACAAAAATCAGATCCCAGCTTTACCAAATACCAGCTTATATGTTTGGAAAGGTAGTGTTTAGGAAACAGCTCAACAAACATGAGCACTGCCCTTTTCTAAGGCAGTTTGGAGGTGGAAATTCTGACTCACTGATACCCAGAGAAAATCTAATCATTTCATTGTTGCCAAAAAAGCAAATCAAATGGGAGTTGTGCATTAAATAGTGCCTTAGAAAATGCTGAGCTTATCTTAACAATAAAACCACATGAATGTCTCTCACCTTTTGGGCTGAAAATCACTTCATTAAATGTTCTATTGTAGAGAGAACAGAAATGCTCTTCATGTTCAAAATGGAGTACAGATTGAGGGAAAAGGTCAAATGAGAAGCTACAATCATTTTCACAGCAGGTGTAATGATCCAGTGGCACAAAAATACCCACGCTGATTCCAGAGATTGGCAATTTAACATGATGGACTTACTGTAGAGAAAAATTACCTCTTATTTTAATGAATGGGATTCACATGTACCTAATGAATCAGAAGAAATGGATTTCTGCATTATTAGCATCTAAGAAGTAACAAAAAAAACATCTATTAGAAAGTTCCCTTTGTGGAGATGTATTTGTTCAGCCTTCAAGCCTTCATTCTCAGAACTACTTACTTTTTTAGTTTATTATTTTTATTTTTCTCAGTAAAAACTTTTATGTTTTCCAAGGACACACATTTGTGCCGAGACTGGCCAAACTCTTATTTCCAGGTTATTTTTTCTTCATCATTCCGGTAAAAGTGAAATGGAAAAAATAAATCACAGTCGGTTATTATTAATGTCACAGCTGCCATATATCTTGACCAGGGGTATGCAATCTCAAGATTACCATCAGGCTGTTTGAAAAGATTTTATATATATATATATATATATATATATATATATATATATATATATATATATATATATATATATATATATATATATATATATATATATATATATATATATAATATTTCACTGTTTTACAGATCTAAATAAGGATGGAAGAAGAAAATGGAAAACACTTTTATTTCCAGATTTTATTGTCTTTTCATACCATTGAAACATCAGAATATTTATTATTACATATTTTTAGATATTTTTGTCATAATTTTGTCTGTCTATTCATCATGTCTTCTGTCCATCAAACCAAACTATCCATCCATCTATGCATTATTATTCAT